CTCAGACTTAGTGATGTGAAGCCTATTATATGGGCTTAGACAGATCAGTGCAGGATCCTCTGCTCCCCATATCTCGGCACCCGCCAGGACAGAAAATGGGCTCCCCTTTCAAGAGGGACCATGGTTTTCTGAACAGTGTGCAGTGGCTCACAAATTCACAGCACAACTGACATCATCTAAATCCTCAAGTCTTTACTCAAGGCTCCCTCAGAAGGTCCATCCAGACCCCGTGCATCTCAGTAAAGAAGGATCAACACGGAGCACAAATTATCCCACCATTACCACCCGGCAAGGAGGGGATGCATTCCCCTCCTCTCTGGGAATAGCATCCATCTGTGCATTGCATTTTGTCCCTTCTTTACAGCCTACAAATATTTCAGCCATTTTGGTTTTACACTGACTTCTGCAGAAACAGCTGATGATTGTACAGTGTGACCATGTGGGGAAGATAGCCCAGAGATGCACTGAGCATATCTGTTTATATACAGATAAGGCTGAGTATTGGGATGGAGAATGGCTTTGAAGGTCCATCAAGATAAAGGAGTTGAGTGGTATCCCCAGCTGACTTTTCTTGAGAAATACATTTGACTGTAATCTTGCACAAATCCCAGCACTGGGGAAGGATGAAAAGGGATCAAATGTTCTCATGGTATCAGTCACTCGTTGAGCTTTCAGCTACAGTGAAATTACACCAGAAGATAAGTGCCTTCCTACTCTGATGACATGAATGCTTTGGGACTAATCTTGAGTCTGAAGATTTTAAGTTGAATTTACCTTCCCTTTCTTTCTTCAGCTTAAATGATCTGTATCAAAGACAGCAAGGACACTTGCTGCAAAGACAGTGTGAAATTAGTTTTATGGGAAAATTAATAAATTTACATTCTGGCTTGCAGGCTTGTATATTGTCTATGCTGCTACAATGATCTAATTTAGCTGGAGCAGTTAGACTCCAATATGACAAAGGGTGTTTCTGCACAGAGTAAACAGTCACAGCTTTGTACAAGGTAAACAGCAGTGCCTGGGAACAGGGCGGGGTGGGGGGGGAACTGGTATCAGGCAGCTTAAGGTAGCTGTCTTATGATGTATCTTTGCATATCAAATGGCTCAGAGGGATCTAAAACTTCAGCTGTTTAATCAGCTGTCACCTCTTCAAGGTTTCCTAATTCTCCTACATACGTGCTGCCTTGGATGATACGTATTTTCCATAGACACATGACAGGACCTCCATCAGGGCCCGTGTGTCTGTCATTACCCTCCCACACCAGAGCTGATGTCCTTCCCGTAATGGGTACAGATATATTGATACATGCAACACATCCCCTTCCAGAAAAATTTTCCAGGCTTTTTCTCCATTAAGTTAACCTCAGTTGTATTCTCTGAAATTAATTTTGCTGCAATTCTTACCAGATATTCAACCACAAGATGAATGCTGTAAGCACTTACAGGAGTTTCATGTTCAATGGAATAGCTGATCACTGTCCTCCAGCTGGTGAACTTACAGTGATCACACTTTAAAAGTCAGCATACACTGCAGTGTTCAGCACTCTCCAATATATAGCACAATATCTTCTAGGAAATCTTTTTTCTTGACCACCAGCTCTGCCTCCAGGCAGCAGGGTTGGAGGAAGGGGACCACAGCCATCAGCAAAAAGCCTCATTTGAACCATCACAGAGTTTCAAGATAGAGTATTCTTTAGGGACACGCAGAGCAAATTTAAGATCAAAATCTGATGCACTGATATCAGTGGGAAAGCTGCCAACAGCAGCTGCAGATGCCACACTAGCTGTTCCGGCAGCTGAAGAGCAGTGTTTTGAACTCTCAGATGGGTACAGATACTGTGTCCCACCTAGCCTGAGCAAATGCCTGGTGAGTTAGAGAAGGAGAGCCATAAAATTAAATGCAAACTTATGAGAATTCACCTTTTTTTGGGGTGGGAAACTCACCTTTTTATGAATGGGAAATCCAATTATAGAATATTGCTCTGAAAAAAAAAGGAACTCCTGCTACTGCTCCAACCTAAAGAGCAGGCTGGGACAGACCCAGCTGATAATTTTGTTCTTGAAGTTAGTTACTGAAATGTAAGAATTTCCATCCTGTGAGCAGATTCAGGATAAGTGTCCTAAGAGCAGACTTCTGACTCCAGTGGAACCAAGGTACTCTGACTGAGTGGGAGGCCAATTCCATCACTCTACAGCTGGTGCACACAAGAAGCATGGAGACACAGTATTCCTCCAGCTCTCCTTGTGCCCTGGGGCTGGTTAAACCCAAGCCATTTTGCATCCTGGCTACCATTAAACAGAAGAAAAGTCCTCTCCTGGGCCAGGTGATGCATTTTGCATCAGAGGAACAAAATTTTCTCCTCAACTAGCCTTTAATTGTAATGTGGCAGCTCACATATCTTACCATGAGCCAACAAAGAATGACAAGTAACTTTTTTTCCCTTTTAGGATTGGTTTGCAATGGCTGGGTAAAGCACCTAACTGCTTCTGCAGAGCTCAGAGGCTCTTAGTGCGCAGCAGCTCTTGCCAAAAAAAGAAAACCAAAATTGATGTTCCAGCTACGCAGGTGGCCTGTTTGGACATCTGAGTTATGAACCCACTGAGTTTGCCGAGTTATTCAGAGTCCTGCAGTCCTGAATTACAATTTTCTTAAGGCCCAGATTATTTTTTTCCATCAATCTCAACCATCTGAACTCCTGCAGAATATAAAGGGGCCTTTTTGTGACCTTGAGATATTGTCATGGCTTCTTTCTCAGCCTGTGTGAAAGGAACCTGTGATACTCTCTAAAAGAGCTTCTGCCCATCACTCAAGTGTTGAGATGAGCAACTCTGCACAAGGCTGTATAATTCTAGTAAGAGACAGAACTTGTCTTCTGGGAAGACCCTCAAAGCAGCAGGGTTTTTTTAATTTCCTGCAGTTTTAGTGATGCTTTCAAATTTAAAAAACAAGCCACTAAATACATATTTATAAAGATAGATCTAGCACTACTTAGATCTTCCTTCAATTTTACAAGGAGAAGACTGCCTCTTTTCAGCTAAGTCTTGGAAAAGATTTTGCAGCCAAAGAAATACTTACTCTGAATTAATTTCTCCTTTTCCGGGTATCAGTATTGTGCCCTCTCTTTGCAGCTACCAGGTCTGGACTAATGAAAAACATCTTGCAGAGTATCTCTCTTGGGTTATCTCTGGACTGCCTCCCCCTTTCCAGTGTCTTCTAGTTCCCATAGTATGCAGAAAATCAAAGATCTGTCAAAAATGCAGTAGCCACCCATCATCATTTCAGCATAGTGTGTGCTGAAAAATCCATCCTTGTAATAACAGTGATGCTGCTGTGACTACTTGGCACTTTCTCTGCAAATCTACTTGCTTCGTGGAAAAATCAGGCATGGTCAACTCCATGCCTAGCCAAGAAAGTCCAGATGCTTTATTGCTTCATTCTCATGCTGCTTTTAGATTTTGTAATGCTTTCATATGAAAACACATGGGAACCCTAAGCTGATACTCTATTTATTTCTTCTGTAAAGCTCCTTGATGTTGTGAGAGTTAAAGGTTACAAGGAGTGAATAACTGTTGACTCCAGGGTTACTCCTAAAAAGCAAACCAACACTGATTTTTATTTCTGTTTGTCTGATGCTTGCAGAACACTACATACCATGTAAACATTACAAGGCATTGAAGGGGAAGTTGAAAGCAGGGATTGACCACTGTGGTTATGTCTGCACACAGCACAGAGAAGCACAAAATAAGTATTTAAATTGTTGCTGATGAGCCCTAAAGTCTTTGCCTTTACTGCAGCAATACCAAGTCTGAGAGAGATGAAGCCAAAGCCCATAAGTTATGTCTTCAGTACCTACTGGAAGGGGAAAACTCAGATGTGCAGTGGGCCTTCAGCAGGAGGTCTAGTAAGAAAAAGCTCAGTTTTCATGCAATTGTTCATTTAAAAAAAGGAAAAGTATTACAAAAATATCTTACTTTTATGTATTCAGATTAAGAGTGCTGGCCTGCTCCTCTGAAAGGTCCTGAGCAGCTGTGTCCTTCTAAGCATGGCCTAGTAGTGAAAGGAAGTTTGTCACCTGTTCCAGAACACCTAAATCCCTGCAGTCCTGGTTCTCAAATTTATGCCAGAACTTCTCCATAACAAAAAGGCCTGATACACTGGCATCTTTCCCTGAGATTGCTAATGCCAAATACTGTAGGACCACTGTTCAGCCTTAAAAAACATAATATTCCTTCTTGACTGTCTTCTTAACGAAAATATAGGGTAATTTGCATTTTCTGAGTCATGCGAGCATGCTTGGAAGTTACTTCATATTTTCTCTGCAATTGTCAGGGCTACAAATGTGCATTCTGGATTTAAACTGAAGGTTGAGCTTCTCACCCCAAAACTATGCTCCAGATATTGGTGCTGTCAAGAGAAAGCCAGCTATCACAAGGCTCACTATAAAAATCAGAAAGCCAGCAACTCTCCTTCCAGCAAAGCATTCTTTGTGGCTATGAACAGCCAGCTGAATCTCAGCTATGTGGCTTCAGAGACAGAAATTAGTACCTCTGGCTGCACAACAAGCCTTAACTATCCTAACTCAAGAAGGTGACTCCACCAGTGTCCCAGGTCACTGGCACCCTTGCTGCCCAAGGGGCAGTGCAAAAGAGGACAGTGATACAGAAAACAAAGCTGAAGTAGTGGTGCTTGTAAGTCATAGATGTGAGAGATAAGGAATAGATGGCTTTGGGTAGGAAACAAAAACAATACCAGTAATTACAATCCTGGTCCGAGTTAAAGCACGTGGGCCAAGTGGCCCCATTCAATTAAAGATGTATTTGGGAGAGGTCCCACATGAAGCTGCAGTGCTATTCCTGGACACACTCTGGGTGAGCTTTGCTGGCAAGGAATGTGTGCTTCAGGAATGTGGCTGGACAGGCTGTGTTTAGGAAAAGTTGTGTATCCTACCAACAGGGTGGAGGATCGGAACTCTCTAATAACCACGCTCGTCTCTCCACAGGGGTTTTTACACAGCAAATCACCCTGCTGCCCCTTGCAACCAGCTGCTGAGGCTGCACTGGGCACCGGCCACCCATGAGACACAGCTACCCCAGAGCAGCTTTACACAGAGCTCCCTTCTCAGGCAGGGATGCTCACTGTGTCCCACTGACACTGCCCAGGTGGTGTTGAGGCAAGCAAAATGTGGAGCAACCCAGGCTGGAACTTTCTGCAGAAATAGAGGTGAGCATCCAGAGAAACTCCTGTGGGGTCTTCATTGGGACTGAGCAGTTAAGCTCTGGCTTTCATGGAAAGCAACTGCTGGTGCAGGAGAGGGCTTTTCTCACACATGGAACATGAGCTGTTCTGTAAAACAGGTAATTCTGAGTTGGAAACATCTCCAGGACAAGAGGGTCAGCTAAGGGGGGACCTTCAAAGCCAGCCAGGAACAACCTCTTAAGCTGCTTCCCCCACACCATTTTCTGTAGCATGACCATGAAATGTGCACTTGCACAGTGAGAGAAACAGCTCTTTTCAGAGCCTGTGAGGGAGGGTAAGCCTGTGCTGTGTGGTCTAAGAGCAAGTGTTTACCTTTGGATTTTCTCCCTCATCATGTTGAATGGAGGCCTGGAGCAGGCAGCGTGCCTGATGGGCAGGGCTGTAATGCCCTGGCACCTTCCCAGACCTCGCCTGAGGCCACCTCTCACCTTCAGAAACTGCCCTGCCCAGGGATGCCTCTTCACACGATGGAAACAGCTGCTTTTTGCAGGCTGCTGGAGGGACAGAAGGGTGGAAATTTCACACTCCATTCCCTCCATCTGTGTTCCTACCTTCCCTTCCAGGGACATCTGTCCTCTGTAGTAGGCTTGCCCTTGATTTGCACCATCTTTCCACCTCAGAAGGCTCCGAATCACTTTGAGAGACAGGAAAATGAAGATGCAACAAGGCTGCAAAAGGGAGTACTTTATAATAATCATCTCCCTGCAACAGGCATCCAGAGAATAGAAGCAGTTGGGGTAAAAATTGAGAATTTGGGTCACCAAATTGGGTGCACTGAGGCTGTGGGCAACTAGGCAGCAATGGGGCCACAAAAGCCACAGAAAATACTACAGCACCAAGAACAAACTTCAGACTTATTGTAAGAGACACAGTCCTGATCTGCCACAGAGAGAACAGAAAAGATGAAAGGCATGGCCACTGTCTGATGTCCCCAGGATAATTACATTGTTTATTCTAGGAGATCAACCCTCACCTGCACTACAAAGCCAGGCCAATCCAACCCCACTGCTGGCGTGATCTTTGCAGGTGTGCTACCCTCAAGCTTAGTGCCTTTCGGTGCCTTCTGCTTTCCCCAGCACGGGCAGTGCAGCACACACACTGCTGTGGACCTTGGGGAGGCCCTGCTGCTGATCCAGCTCCTGGCTTGGTTTGTTGCTGTCCCACAGAGAAACCTGCATCCTGCAGGACTGTTGCCACAGTCAGTTCAGACGCTGCTGGCCTCTTGCCCACTGGAGCTCTGTACTCCATATCCTCTGCACTGTGGAACTGAATGTCCAGTACTAACAGCTCCTGACTGCAAAATTCTGGGCTTAATGCAGTGAGCAGGGGTGGAGACACTCTTTCACATGGAAAAATATATATTTTCTATGAAATCATATCCCAAAACCTGTTGTCAGCTATATCATGCACAGTTTACTATAATATAAGGTATAATTAATAATCCTATAATATAAGGAATAATTCCCAGATATACTTCCAGTTTTACAAGATAAAAGTCCCTCAGGCTGCTCCTCTTCTCAGTTGGTTTGCTGACATTAATTTGCTGCCAGCCTCCTGCCTCCTTCAGATCTACCTACAGCACAGGGAAGAGGGAGGATGGGCTGGCCCGTTGCATACAACAAACAGAGAAGTTGGCTCTCAGACAACACCCCACTGTTCGTCTTTTGTGCATGGGGAACTGCCAGTACTATTGTGGCTTTCTCCTCTCTGTTGTCTGTCCTAAGCACATCACCTTGTGTTTAGGGGTACACTTCTGTGAGCCGAGGTTCAGAGAAGCATTTACTTCATTTTACTTCTCCTAAATGTTTTTTGTTTTCACACCAAACCCTCTCACAGGCATTTGCCCAGGAAACTGTATTCCTCTCCCTCTGGTTCCCAAGGAGCTGCTGCTCAGCACTGCTCCATTTCAGTGTGGAGTAGGCTTCTCCCCTTGAGATCAGGTAACTCACTCAAGGTACAGCAGCAGCTGGCTGCCCTTGGGCCAGTGTCCTGGCTTAAGTTCCCACTAGTGACTAACACAAATGGCCCTCTCACCTCAATATCAGAGGCCTTGATCCCACCCAGAGAGTTAAAATTTTAAGCTCAGACTTTCAAAGGCAACAAAGAAAAAGTTTGGCATTCTGCCCTTGCCCAGAGCTGCCTCCCTCGGCCCTTCAGCATCCTTTACTGAGTGCCCTTGTACTGCCAGACCCTTGGAGTGAGTCACTGGGGGATGCACCCAGCGACCTCATCTCACACTGGAACCTGCTTTCCAAGGTGAGTCACGGCCCAGCACCTCCCTGCAGGCTGTGCAACTTGCCTGGAGAGGAGAGGCTGGCTTCTGCACATCCTTGCATGCCAGCTACCTCCTTGATGAGTACATAAGCTCTAATGGTCACGGGACGGGCAGGCAGGAACTGCTGTGATTTCATCGCAGCTGTGACCTGATTCACCCTTCATCACATCATTTACTCTGCCTCTCTGTGGAGTGAGAGTCATGAGACTTGCCTGCTTGGTATGAGGATTAATTCCCACCAGCTAATGCTTTGAAGATGAGAAGAAGAGCAGACATCGCCGGGTACCACTGTTGCTGTTAGACCTGTGCTTAGCCCAGGCCTGGGTAATGCTCAGATTGAGATTCCATGGTGAGAGGCATTTATGCTATTGGTGTCTGTGTGACATCTCTCTCATGAAAGGATCCCAAAGGAATTCACTGCTGGGTGCCTCAACAGACCCAGATCCACCAGGAAGTCTCCAGGAGGCTATTGGACAGGGGCATGAGGGTCCCCTCCCATGCCTAAGGACAAAGGAAGGCCTGATCTAGGGTAGAGCTACTGAATTTTTTGAAAGATAACGCTCCACAGATTACCTCTGAGCATCCAGAGAGTCTCAGGGTAAAACCAGCTCCCCTAAATCATCCCTGGAGCACACAGGCCAGTGAGCCAAGCTTATTTCTGGCATTTGCTCTCAGTCAATGAGTTGCTACTTTCAGGGACAAGAGGTACAGCAAAATAGAGCTTGGGCCATGACTCACTGACCTCAAGGTGAGATGTCGTTCATCATCACAGCATGGCTTTCCCAGATGGCAAAACCTCCCACAGCAGTGTGAGCCACAGCACACTAACCCAGCTGCCAGCATGCCTAGCTGAGAATGACAGGGGCATGGAGGCTACCAGATCTGCCTCTCCAAGGAAGTTTCTGACAGCTGGATCACTTCTTAGGTAAGAGAAATGTGTATTTTTCTGAGGTTTGAGAGCACAGGCTGACACAGCCAAGCATGGGTTCCCTACCTCTCTGCATCAGATGGTGGGAGCACATCTGGGATGGCCGGAGTCCTGCATGGGCAGGCTCCTGTAAGATGGGCAAATGAGGGTTTGCTGCCCAGAGTTTGCTCTGAAAGAGTGCTTCTGTCTTTATTCTCATATGGGAAATGTGTCCTTTCATGCATACATTGATAATGTGATAACCACATGAATAATTCTCCCCATGTCCACTTATCTGTGGGAACCCACATGGGTCACAACATCACCCATGGCCCTTCTGCAAACCAGTGCTGCCGGGTTTTGTTCTGCCCTTCACCCCCAGCCTCAGTGCCCATTTTTGCAACCAGAGCTGATTTGCACTGTTAGCTTTCGCCTGTGGTATCTGTATGTGCTGACCATAAGTTGATGAGTCGACCAAAGGTTGATCTTGAGATACTGCTGGAATAAAGTCCTCACCACCCTCCCATGCTGAGTGCCAGCACCAGGACTGTGTGCACCACACAGCTGCAACCTGTGGCCATTTTGCAATGTCACCCCACACCAGCTTGTCCTAAAAAAAACAGAGGTTTGCGTTTGTTTGTTTCTGTGGATTTTTTGTTTGTTTGTTTGTTTTTGTTGTTGAAACTGTGGTTTGGTGAATTCCCCCTGGCTCCAACCAGCACTGGGCAATGGCAGAGCCACCCTGGCCCATTCCATGTGCTATGATAAAACTCATTCCTTGGCAAGAGGAGCCCAGCCTTGAAGGGGTTCAAGGTGGGGGAGGTGGGTTGTGTGCTGGACTCCAGGAGGGCATGTAAAGGGCTGCTTTGATGTCTGTGCAACACTTGATGTCTGCACACACACATGCACAGCAGGCAGCTCATGCAGCTGGCTTCCACAGTTGCCGGCTGTGACAGACGTGCTGCAGCAAGGGACCCACACGAATCACCACACTGGTGTGGGGTGGGGATGTTCTATCACAGCTGAACATGCTGCTTTTAATCCCTCTGTTTCCAATTCCCAGGTCTGTAAACACAGAGCCATGACTGGATACAGGTGTACCAGCTTTGGGCAAAAACTGAGGGTGATACCTCCACCGGTTCCTTTACAAATCCCTGCACCTCCCCAGGCAAGCGCATGGCTTTGACCCTGCTCACTAATCCCTGCATACCAGCGGTCTGTGGAGGACTGAGGGCAGTGTTTGAGCACCTCTGGTGCCTGCTAAGTAAAGGCTGAAGTAAATAAAGGAAGTTGCTGCCCTGCAACACACCAGTGTGGAAGTACGCTGAAGTGAGGCCCTCAAGAAAGCCACCCCTCCATGGCCTGCTCCTTGCAGACCATTGCTACTGTGCCCAGCAGCAGGAGGAGGAGCAGAGTAGCTCAGCCATGAGAGGATCTATTTTGGCCTGCGGGAAAAGGGTCTGTGCTCTGGAACAGTATCTCAAATCTCTTTATGTGCCACCACTTCTACAATGGTGGTACCTGCAGTGGGTCCAGCCTGGCCAGCCCTGGCTCTGCACTTGTATGTCTGCACAGTGAGCTGAACTCTGTGTTTGTTGGGTTTTCTCAGTCATAAAATTTTTTAACATTGAGTCAGGCTTCACTACAGTGCCAGTGGTGGCAGGTCTCCTGCCACAGCATGTTAAAATCTCTAAAGGTTTTAACACAGCACCTGCTCTGTTGAACCTGCGGCTCTCACTGGGTCGTCGTCTGACACGGTGCTTTCAGTCAGCAGTCAGTCAGCCTTTTGCAGCCCACTGGCAGCTCCCTGGCTGCTCGCAAGGGCTGATGGTGTTTGTGGGTTATCATCACAGATCACAATTGCTTTTAAAAGAGACAAGGAGAAATTAAACCCTGCATCTGCCTTCCCTAGCACTCATTTCTCTCTTCACCCCCTTCTGCAGACCAGTCCCAACTGCACTTCTGAGTTGCCAAGTGATCCACATTTTTTATTATGTGTATTTTCAGTGGCAGTGACATGTGACAATATTTTCAGCAACATGGATCTGCCTGGCTGAACCCACTGTCATGGTTTCACCCCAGACAGCAACCAAGCCCCAGGCAGCTACTCACTACTCCCCCACCAGCAGCATCAGATAGAGGATTAGAATGATAAAAGCCAGAAAATTTGTGGGTGGAGATAGAAACAATTTAATAAGGAAAGCAAAAGCCAATTAGACAAGCAAAATAAAACCAAGAATTAATTCACTGTTTCCAATAGGTATCCTGGTGCTCAGCCATCTCCATGAATGTGGTTCCATCACTTGAAACAGTTACTTGGGAAAACAAACACCATCACTCTAAACTTCTCCCCCTTCCTCTTCCTTCCCTCCACTTTATTTATTGAGTATGAGCATATGGTTTGGACTATCCCTTTGGTCAGTTTGGGTCATCTGTCCTGGCTGTGTTTCCTCCCATCCTCCCCCATACATCCAGCTTCCTCATCAGCATGGCTGTAGGAAAAGCAGGAATCCCCTCAGCTCTATGCAAGTCCTGCTCAGCTATAACAAAAACATCACTACATTATCAACCCTGTGTTCAGCACAAATCCAGAACACAGCCCCAGACCAGCGACTGTGAAGCAAATTAACTCTACCCCAGCCAAAACCAGCATACCCACGCCGCAGGGCAGGACATGGTGACAGGTGACCACGGACATTCAGGGACTCAAGAGGTGGTCTCACCCCAAACATCTCCACTGTTGCAGAACTGGTCTCCTCTGGAGTCTCCTGATGTGTGGAGGGTGGTGTCACCTGCAGAGATGCCGTTGAAAGATGCTTAGGGCATTTAAATTGCAGAAGAAAAAAGCCAGAGATGATTTTGCAGCTCAAAGTGCTCTTGCAGCTCAAACAGTATCTCCTGATGCTCAAGAAACAGATGGCACTGCCTGAAAGAGAAGGTGAGACCACCTCTCTGTAAGAGTGGATTAGCTGGGCAGGAGGAAGAGACCTCAGCCACAGGACTGTCATATCTGGATTTTAACTTTCACACGCACTGTGGCTCACCACTGCTCTCACACTCTCTGTACCATGGGGCTGCAAGAACCCTTCAGACATGGCTGATTTTAGCTGCTGGGTTTTCACTCTTCCTCCACTGACCCTCTTTAAGAGCCACACAGGTGAACCACGACAGGATGGGGAGATGGGGTGGCTGGAGCAGCCAACACTCCTGGGGTGAAGCTCCCCAGCAGCAGGAGATGCCCCAGGGAGTTCTGCTGCCTGCAGAGCTCCCACTCGCTGCCCTCAGCCCCAGCAGTGCTGCATCCGCACCTGCAGCCTTCCCCACACCTCCAGGACTTGTTTTTATTAGGGTTTTTCTGGGGTTTTTCGAGGGTAAATACGTAACACTGTCACTTTGAGCAGCAGATGTTGCCGAAGGCAGCGGCAGCACAGACAGAACAGGACGGGATTAGGGCAGCTTATCCCCCCAGCCCCGCTCGCCACGCACGGGCCAGGCCATGCCGGGGGCTGCCATAGCAGCTGGGAAGGTACTCCCTCAGCCTGGGCTTGGATACAAAAAAACACTGTGTTTTTAACATTCAATAAATAACAGTTTTACTAAAAAGTGCTGGCACATGCACCAAATAAACTATGTGTAAACAGCATGTATATTTCATATATAATACTGTCATATATATTTATATAGCTTTCAGTCATACATATTTATCTATAAAGTATGAAAATAAATAGCACTGAATGTAAAACCATAGTACATATAAGCCCACATGAATATATAAAACAGATACATAAAATGTTATATATACATGAACCATTACAAGTATAATATAAATAAATATAAAGCATACATTTAGAAAACATTCCCTAATATAATTTTTATATAGTGTTCTCTATATAGAACTGATATGTAACCTTATATTTATTCTGTTTGTTTTCACAAGATTCTAAATTGATGTCTTTTAAAAGAGACAGGACAAATCCTGTCTGCCTTCCCTAGCACATCCTTCTCTCTTTATCTGCTTCTGCAGGTCGAACCCAACTGTGCTGCAGAGCTGCGAGCGACCCCCATTAAAAGGATGACGGGATTTTCAGTGACACGGATCTGCCTGGCTTAACCCCCTTTGCAGAGCAGGATTTCGATTCCGTGTGCTTCTATAAAGATAACTTTGCAGTACATATATTACATTAATATACACTATTATATGGTACAATATTGCAACACGTAAATACCTAAAGCATATTTATAAACCTATGAAAACATGCCTGCATAAATATTTATATCTTTTCTACCCATAACTCGAATCCGGGGGCCATATATGGCACTGAAGTACGCACAGAACGTTGTTTTTACGTTTGTTTTGTATTCCGCACTCAAAGCTCTCCCCACACACAACACTGGCGCGCGCGGCCCCGACACTGCGCACGCGCGCGGGGCTCGGGGGCGCGCTCAGCCGGGCACGCGCGCGGGGCTCGGGGGCGCGCTCAGCCGGGCACGCGCAGCGCCGCTGGCCCCGCCCCCCACCCCGCGGGCGGGGCTTGCCCCGATAAACACGGCCACGTGCGGGGGGGCGGGGCCTGCTCGCGCTTCCGGCAACACGCGCCCGCCGCCGCCACATAAATAGCGCCGAGCGCGCCCGCGGCCACCGCACCGCTCCGGCCACCGCACCGCTCCAGCCGCCGCACCGCTCCAGCCGCCGCTCCGGGTGCTGCCCGGCTCTGCCCCGCGCCGCTCCCGTCGCCGCTCCCAGTCCCGGTGTTGGTCCCTCTCCGTGCCGTCGCCATGCCGTTCCTGGGGCAGGACTGGCGCTCCCCCGGCCAGAGCTGGGTGAAGACGGCCGACGGCTGGACGCGCTTCCTGGACGAGAAGAGCGGCGGCTTCGTGGGCGACATCAGCAGGTAGCGGGCGGTGCCGGCAGGGGGCGCGGTGCCGGGCGGGGGCGGCGGAGCTGTGAGGGGCGGACGGGGCCCGGCCCCGGGGGCGCTCCGGTGTCGGCGGAGCGGGGTCGCTGTCTGGCGGCCCCGGGGGCGCTCCGGTGTCGGCGGAGCGGGGTCGCTGCCTGGTGGCCCCGGGGGCGCTCCGGTGTCGGCGGAGCGGGGTCGCTGCCTGGTGACCCCGGCCCTGCCGGCGGAAGGACTCGGCGGCCCCTCCGGCCCTAAAGGAAGCTCTGAACGGGGTCACTCAGCCCCCGGCGGGGTCCCCACATCCCTGTGGGGGCTGTTCCTCCCCAGGCGGCCGGGCCGTCCTTACGGCTGTGGAGTGTGGTGAAAAACCGAGGAGAAGATGTAACATTGACGTGCCCCGCGGCCAGAGCGCTGTGCCCCCGGGGAGCATCGCCGAGCGGCTCCTGGGGGCCCTGGAGGTGGCTGCCCACCCTCCCCCACCAAAAACAACCTTACTTGGGGCTTCCCGGTCTCGGGCTGGGAAGGATGATGTGTCTGAGGCCATAAATCTTCCCCAGGCCATGAGTAATGTACCTTACGTGCTGCTTGACTAATCTGGCTGCAAAACGTCAACAAACCCCCAAGATGGAGCGGGCAGGAAGCTTTGCAGTGCGTGGGTGTCCTGGGCTCCGGCAAGATCGCTCCTGTAAAAACCAAACTTTTCTCACAGAGCTGCATCTTCTCAGCTGTGTGCTGCCAGGTTTGGGGTTGCTGCCACCGGGCCTAGGGATGGGTCAGGAATGCCCATGACAAAGGGACTTGGAGTAAGAAGGGATTTGCTGTGAGCCACTCCTGAGATGTTATCGTGCAAGAAGGCTTATGTAGCAGGTATCTCCTGCTCTCTTTCATGTAAGCTGTAAGTAAAAATCAAGTTTAGGTTAGGTTTGGTTTGTAATTTGTAAATAGGTAGAAAAATGTCTGGCTGATGGTAGTGTTGGGAATACTGAGTTTAGCATGGGTTTATGCATCCCTTTTCCCATATAAAAGCAAGGAGGTGACATATTGACCCCAGGCTGAGGTCCTTGCAGTGCCAGGTCCAGGTGCCCAACTGCTCAACCTGTCAAGATGACATGGAGAACTGTGTGGAAACCTGGCAGTACATAAACAGGGTAATAATCTTCCTCCCATGCTGGAGCTCGTCCACTGCTGCTGTTATGGTGGTTTCAGATTACAAAGTCATTCAGTAGGAAGTCAACAGGCAAGCGTGTGCTGTTGACATGTGAGATTTAAAGCAGATCCATCTTGTGCTCTTGGGCTCAGATTCTGCCACTGCATGGGGCGTGTTAACTTGACCCCCTATTGATTTTGTGCAACTATGATAAAACATGAGCTTGGATATTCCAAAATAGCTTCTTCCTTGCTGCCGTATTCTGTTGTCAGGTTTTGGTACCCCCAGTAGGAAGCAGCATGGATGGGGTACATGAGCAGTTGAGATGTTCTGCTCTCAGGTTTAGTGGTTCTGAGCAAGCTGCAGCTGGTTGAAGTGTCTGGTTCCTCACATTGTTGTTTTTGTGACTACTGTTCACCTTCAGTGCTGCTGCTCTTCCCCTTCTGCACCCTTCTGGTGCCTTCTCCACAGTTCAGATGCCCTGCAAGGGGGAGGTGGAGCATGAAGGAGGAGCTGAGAGTCATGGTGTTCTGAAACCAGGAGAGGCTTCTTCTACCTCTGCAGCCATGTGTAGGTGCCAAACCAGAACATCCATCTGGATTGTGCCACGGGGAAACTGTGTCCCTCCTGGGGCTGAAACTCTGACCTGGTCACTTGACTTTTGCGTATGCTGGTGGTGTGGCCATGCAGACAGCCAGTGAACACAGGAAACAAGAAGTCTTGTCCCACAGGTTTCATTCCTTTGCAGGAGACTGTGGGGAATAGCTGTCAGAGGTGTGTTTGGTATAGTGCTTGTGTTTGGGTTTTGTTTGAGACTAAGCAGTGTAAACACATGGCATATACAGGAAGCTTGCTGGCTGTGTAAGGTTCCTCGTGGCTGTCTGAGGAAGCTTGCCCGGGCTGCAAGCAGCAGCAGTGTATTTTGGCATCTGCCATAGCTCCAGGGCTGTGTGAGCCACAGTAGCTGAGAGGTGCAGTGAGGTGCCTGGAACCCTTCCTCGGGTTTAGGCCTGTAAACAGCCATGCTTCCTCCTTTGCAAGCTGCTAGAGCACTGGGGATGGCTCTGTTTTATTATCGTGGATGTGTGGCCTGTCTTCCCCTTGGCACCTGTGAGGCACCCTGCAGCTCTGGGCAGCAGGCTGTGTGCTGGGCCTCTGCTGAGAGCCCCGGTGGTGCTGCCCTGCCACTCCCGGGGATCTCTGCAGCAGTGCTGTGGCTGCCCAGGGGCTTCTTAGTTTCGAGTTGTGGCTTGGATCTGCTGATTTACAGGTCTGCACTATATGGGGATGTTGATGCACAGCCTCTTTATAGCTAGCCTTTCATTGTCATTGAAGGAAATAAGGGATTATAGCTCCCTTCACTAATGGTACAGTTACAGCAGAGCTCCAGCAGAAGCAGGCAATGGGCAGCCTTGGACAAGAGATCTTAGCTGTTAACTTGTGTAGTCACTACTATGCAGGGCCTGGAAAAACATCAGATAAGTCTGAACCTCAACTAAGCTTTTCCTGTAAGCTTGAAATAGTATTTTGTGGGAACTCTTTTGTTAATATATATTTTGAGTACATAAGTGTGTCTTCAGGGATGCCTAAATATGTTCTTCTGTAGCAGATTACACTGAGCCAGTCAGACTGCTACCTTCACCAGGAGGATATGGTGTTACTTAAGGATAGAAATAGGTTAAAGAGTGGAAAAGAACATTGCTCAGCAGTGTCCCAGCATGAACTGTGTAATCTCTTACTCCTATCAGGGGTATCTTGGCTAACCCAGAATTGAGGCACCAGAGGTTCCTTTAAAAATACCAATACTGGATGCTAAAACTGCTACTTCTTGGGGTAGCCTGCAAGAAGGCAGCTTTAGAGGCCACAATTAAACCTGTCTGTTTTTTCTCCTTGCAGGAAACATAGTGTTCAACAGAATGCAGAAATAAACAGAATCCTTGCTTTGTGTCATTCACAGCTTTTGTAAAAAAGATGATCACAACAAAGAGAATCTCTTCAACAGTGTAAACTATGATGTTGCTGCCAAGAAGAGAAAAAAAGATCTGCTGAATAACAAAGCCAAGACTCAATGTAAGACATCTTTTTGGGCTTCTTTTTAAACAAAAGTTGCTGCAGAGGAATGGAAAATGCATAAAATATCTGGTTTTTGCACAGTGCATGAAGAGCCTTCTAGAGTCTTGAAGGGCTTTGCAACCATGTTTGACCTAAGGAGAGAACTTGGATACAGTTTAACATGAAGATTTATGCCCCTGTTAGTAATCCCTGTTCTGAGGAGTTGTGCTTGTTGTGTTCAGATTTTTGTCATTTGTTTGTCAGGAGGGTAATTTTTTCCTATGGTACATTCAAATGAACCAGTTTCAGTATTTTCCCCCTGTTGACTTCCTTGTGCACAGCAAGCTAAATTTATTCTTCCTTCCATATGCATGTTGTGCACTAATCTACATTACTGGAGGCTACAAGCCTGAATGTAAGCTTTGATCCTATCTCTGTGTGCAGAGTGCATGAAAAATGAAATAAGATTTCAGCTCACTCAAAACAATAGAAGGCTTGAAATCGCTGTGTGCCCAGCAAGCAGCCGGGGTCTCAGATGGAGCCCTGGGAGAGCACCCGGGGGAGCCTGCAGGGACAGCAAGGTCTGCATTGGGCTGATTGCAAGATAGGTACTGGAGTTACATGTGAAGGCTACAAATGTAAACATACCCAGAGGAAGTGAGTTACAATTCCCACACTGCTATTAATTCATTGTGCATCCCTCAGGATTTTGGAAACTGTTGCCAAAAGTTGGCCCCTTAGTGTATTCAGTTCTCTGAACAAACAAATGTTACCATGACAGTTTTTGGCTGGATAATGCTGTGACCTACCACTGAAAAGGGCTTGATGCAGGGTCAGCATGCCTGTAACTGAGACTGGGTCTGTCCTTGGGCTTGCAGTACCAGGCAGGAGTACATTCCATAGCTTGAGTTCATTAATTTACAGGTTGCTCTAAGAGTTCAATATTTTCTTTATGGAAAGGAGTCCAGCAGGGTGGGGAGGAGAACTTTTTTTTATACTAGCACCTAAATTGCCAGTGTGTGGTGGAAGTAGGGTCAAAAGCCCATGTGAAAATGGAGTGGGAGAAGGACTGGGCGACATAACTGCTTATAGTACAGGCTCTTCTGCAAACAGAGTTAGCAGGGTGCGCTGGGTATTGGGAAGTTATTTTGGGAAATGGATGGGACAACTCCCATTCTGAGGGAAGGGAGGGGCAATTAGAAATAGGGAAATTTTGGTTCCACATAGTTTTTTCTTTTTTAGCAAGTTAGCTGCAAGCATAAGCATGCTGCTCTGAGCCTGACCTCACTGCTAAAAGCTCTCTTACATGCCTGGTGTCTCATGACATTTTTGCTCAACTTCAAATTTGACATACAATCCCAAGCCTGTAACCAAGGTAATAAATAGTTAATAAAATCAATAACAACAAAACCTGGCTGTCAGCCACGTTTACTGTCTGGGACCAAAGAAGAGGAGGTGCTATGGTATATCTGTGGCTGGCAGATTAAACATTTACAGTCTTGAGCTGTGTCAATGAAACAGAAGCCTTTTTTGAGGCTTAGGGCTACAGTCTCAAATGAAGCTGTATTGAAACAAAGCAGCTCAGCAAGTTGCTAGATTTGGTTTCAAGTGTGGAGGTGTAAACAAAATAATTTATAGTAAAAGTGAATGTTATGAGCAGAACAGACATACAGCTCTCTGAGGTGGAAGATTAACTGAGTGAAATGTCTTTGTCCAAACAGATTTCCACCAGGAGAAGTGGATCTACGTTCACAAGGGAAGCACAAAAGAGGTGAGGGCCTCACAGGTTCTTTGTTCTCTTTTCTACTGATTTTTACAAGCAGTGGAAGATCCTGTGCTGATATAAATCAGCAGAAGCTCTTAAGAGATAAGTGGAAGATCTGGCTTGTGGCTGGAATTTCAGTAATGATTTTAAGCCCCTATCAGGGATCCAGGGCTTGATGTACAAGGCTTTGTACATGTGTTTAAAATATGACTTGTTTGCTTCCCTCATTTAAAAAAAACCCAGCCATTTGCAGGCCAAGCCATAATACTGTTCTTGGCTTTCACCCAGTACAGTCCTAACGTGGAAAATCATTGGAATTTATCACAATGGCTTGCTTGCACTCACGGAGAGAAGTGGCTGTAGGAGACTGCTCTGAACTCACACTGTATATTGACCCCCAGGAATGTGTGGCTTATTCTCACATGGAAATTCATGGGTCACGAGCAGAGCATGGGGTCTCTCTTGGGAAACTACCATAACCTACACTGGGCCATGCCCACTCTTGATGTCAGTAAGTGCAGCTCAGCAGGAGCCAGGCCTGCCTCCTCTGGTATGAGCTGCTGCCATGGTTTGTATCCATCAGCTTGCTAAATGGAGTTGCTCTGGGTCAGGTCTATCTGGTGCTACTCAAGTCTGCCAAAACATGACCCAGAGTTTTTTCTTCTCAGCGCCATGGTTACTGCACCTTGGGAGAAGCCTTCAACCGGCTTGACTTCTCCAGCGCTATCCTGGATTCCAGGCGATTCAACTACGTTGTGAGGGTGAGTAAAAATCCAGGGTTCATTTTGATGAAGGCTGGTGGGGGCTCTGAACTGAGCACCAGTTGGGTAATGGGACGCACTGGCAAAGAAGAGATGTTTAAATATGCAAGTGGGTGTGTTAAGCTTTTCTGCGTGAAGTAATTCATGGAAGTTTTGTGAGTGGATAGATGCCCAAATCTTGTCTTCAGTTTATTAAAATGGAAAGAGAGGAAAATGGTGATAATGTGGAAGATGAGCTGTCTGTAGCCTAGCATTCCTACTACTTTTCAATTGTCATTCACATTTGAAATCCTGAAAGCCTGGCTTCTAATTCCTGAGTTTTCAGTTCACCTTCTGAAAAAGATCATGGGCTCTGCAGATGCCACAGGGCACTGGAGACCTCTTTGCTCCAGAAGCTCCAGTCTGAGGTCTGTGGAGCTTTGTTGAGGTGATATAGGAGAGACTCAGGGGAGCTGAGCATTTTGGGAATGAGGGGGTGGGCTGAACCTCTTGGTGGCACTGATCTTGTCTTCTCTGTTAAGGATCACATTGCTCTTAATCCTTTGTGACTGGCAATGGTTTCAGTGGGTGAGACATTTGTTTAGTCCTGATAACATTAGTTAATAAAGGAGGAGTCATCAGCTTCAAGCTTCCCATGCTCTGGCTTTGCATAATAGGTCAGGGTTTGGCATGGCCAAGGAGATGGTAGTGTTGGGGGGACCTACTGTTCTGAGGGCTGTGGATACTTGTATGTTTATCTGCAAATTGATCTTGAGTTTCAGAATGCTTAGCAAGATTTGGACTTCAGTAAGGTTTAAAAAAAAGTTATTAACTTGAGGCTGTTTGTGAACAGTTCCTCTTCCTGCCTTGTGAGCAGCTGATCACTGGTGAGGCAACAGCTGTTCAGGTGTGAGGTTCTGGAGCAAGCAGCAGTGGTATTGCTTTCCCTTTGAGTCAAGTGTCATGAAAAGTGTCTAAGGAAGAAATGATCTGAGCAGCTTCACCTAGGTTGTCTAGGTGGGAACTTCTATCACCTGGGGAAGGGTACAGGCACTAGGGATGATGACCCACTGGCTGTGTAGGAAGGGCAATCACTTGGATGTCCCACAACAGGAGTGGTGGCAGGGAGTGGGCATTCTGGGGGAGGCAAAGCAGGATCCAAGCCATGTAAACTCAGGCTGTCCTAGCTCTGCTGATCTTGGGACAACTTGTTTTCCTGCCTGTGCAGAAGTGATCACCAGTGTTGAGGTAGTCAGTGTTTCTTGATATTGGATATATATATACACACACAGCCGTGTCATCTTCAGGGGGATTACTGGAGAAGGAACAGTTCATGCCAAGGCCATAACCCTTTAGTCAAATATAAAGAAGGAATGTAAAATAAAACTTGTTTAGTGCTGCAGATATCCCTTTGGCAGACTTTTATGACAGTGAAGAACTCCAAAGACCTCTGCTAAGCATGGCCTCAGGTCATGCTGTGCCACATGATGGGCTTCTGCTGCTTGGCCCAATGTGGTAGATGTCTCATATTGGACTGCAATGGTTCAACAAAAGTCCCACTAAGAGCAAACTTAAATTTCAGTCAAGTCAGTGTGGTCTGGTGGGGGAGCTCAGGCTGACCTTCTCTCTTTTTCTCATGAGCACATGAGAAAAAGAGAAGAATATTACATTTGGGATGTTTTTATCAAAACAATGGTTTTGAAAGCTATGGAAGCTGACATGTGTCCTTGTTTCTACAAATAATCTCTTCTGAGCTTTTAAGAGTAGCTTTCCCCCAGTAGTTTTACAGATCTAGTACTACTGAGAAGTATGAAGGTTTCTAATTGAAAATTGTGGTTTGGCAGTTTAAAGAAGATATTAAACCTGGTACCATGGATCAAACTGTAAAATTGACTTCTTAAAATGAAAGGCTTGTATCAGCCAAGTCTCCAGTGGACAGTAGTTCATAAAATGCCTTATATGCCAGATTTACTCATGAAAAGCTCTGCCTAGATGTGGATTATGTTTATGGTCCTTTGCAAGTTGCTGGCCTCCTAAAGCACATGAATGGGCAATCTGTCACATGGAAATGATTGACTGAAGGCAAAACATTTTTCCCTGCCTTCCTTCTCTTTGTTCTCTCTAGTTCCACTCCTTGCTCAGGGTACCTGATACTAATGTCATGCTATTTAATTCATCAAGCAAATGCTTTTCAAGGAGGGGAGTTTGGAAGTCGAGGCTGGGAAAGAATATGATGATGTCTGTAGGGCAAGAAAGGAGAGAAACAGCTGCATGTTTGAGGTTCTGCTGGCTATACCCAAGCTTGCCCTATAGAGACATAAGCTGCATCACTTGCTGGTAGGAAAATGAGCTTTCAGGCTTAACATGAACTTACCTTTCTGAATTTCTCTGAAATTAAGTGAATAGTCCTTAAGTATCTTCAGTGCTTGCTTTCTTGTCACTGAAATTTCTGTTTTAGATACACCCAAACTAAGTTCTTGGAGTTTCTAATGGTGCACAGATGAAATGGGCACCTCCTTCAAGTGGGGTGGAGGTATGAGCTGCAAGAAGTTTGGCAGGTATTTTTTATGGGCAAATACAATCATCTGGAGCCAGTAAATCTGTGTAAGGGGAGCAGAAGAAATTTTCCTCTAACATTAATCTTATCTTGATTGTGTGCTGGTACAGCTCTGGAAGTGCCAAGTTATAGGTGTTGGTGTCATGACTTGATCCTTGCTGATCCTTCAAATTATTGCATCTGCTTACATGTTACAGAACAATGAGTGTTTCCTTTTTGGAGCTAATAAGGGAGTGTGTGATTGACCCAGAGGACCCAAACTGTTGTTGGTCTGAAGCAGCCCTGGTTTCTCTGGTCTTGGAGATTTAATGAAAAGACTGGAAGCATTCTGTAAGCATAATTAATGGGAGCAGAGACAAAAGTGCGTGCAGCCCAGAAGTTGGTTTTCCTTCAGGAACACTGTGTTCAAGTGACAGGTTTTGCAGGCTGCTTCTTCAGAAAGGGGTTTCTCATATGATGGCTGTATAGTCTCAAGGGAAGGTGCTGTTTCTGATCATAAAAGCTTAGGTCATGTTAAGCTGCCTGGGTACAACTCTTCTAAAATAACATGATCTAGTTTATGTGCAGTCTTCTAAAGTAGTCTCTTAAATTTGCTTCTTAAGTTTTAATAGAGCTTAGCTCCAGGAATCCTGGATTTATGCTGTCCTGAAAGAATATCAGCTGGTTGCTGTCTCATGGAGATCTGTCAGCACCTGCGCTGTAAATCATTATAACTCGCCTTGCCCTTGCTCCACCTGTCAGCTGACAGACAATGTGACATTTCAGCCACCGAAAGTGAAGGGCTGTGAGAGCAAGGTGGGGCTAGAGGAGGAATTTTTCATTTCTTGCAAGCAGTCCAGATGTGAAGAGTTACATCTCGGATCATCAGGAACTTATGGATCCCCACACAGTGCAGTCCAGCTTTCATATAGTTGGCTTGAGGTATTCAGTGGGAAATTTATACTTCAGTAGTTTGAGACTTGTGATTTTAATCACTACAGAGCATTTCCCTTTTTGAGTCAAGGTTGTACTGTCTTGCTCAGCACAGCAGGACTGCTAAGGATTTTTTGGCTCTTTGTGCTGGAAACCCCAGCAGTGGTTATTTGAAGTGTGGATTGCCTGCACACCCCTGGGTTGAACCAAGACTGTGGCCAAAGTGCCATCTGGCTGTAGCAGGTCTAAGCAATGCTGCACACAGTAATCATGGGTGCACAGGAGTGTTTTCATGGCCCTGAAACAGGGGCCCTGGTTCCCTGCCACATGGCAGTGTTCTGTTCACTTTTTTTATCTTGTGCTTATGGGAGGAGAAGAATCTGCTCTGCTGCTGAAGCTGAGAGACTTTGTTGCACTGTTCCTCCAGATGGATGGCTGGGGATTTGAGCAGGAGCCCCACTGCACTCAGGGGAAGTGAACAGGTTACTGCTGTGCTGGGTAGGTTCTGGGATAGCCTACTGCACCTCTTGCCTTTTCTCTATAGTTTTGGCTAACCTCAGATAGCAAAATAAAATAGGGAAGGATTTTTTAAATGGAGCTACCAGGTCAACTTCCTCAAATTCTGAGGAGCTTGAAGAGTGCATTTGGATCCAATGCTCTGTTTTCTAGAGGTGTTGTAGACTTCCCAGCTCCAGTTTAAACTGGCTGGAATTTGAAAGGCAGACCTTTTAAAATTGCTGTTAACCTTTCCCTGTGCACTCTCTCCTGCCATCTGTCCCTCTCAGTTGAGCGTGGGCTGGACTTAATGCAGCCACATCGTAACACAGGCTTGCAGCTCTCTCTCATCTTTTTACCCTGCTCAGCATTAATCTACATTCATCTGTTTGCTTTAGTCTGTATTATGCAAGTAGCAGCATTTATTTTTTTATACTGCTATAGACCCCAATTTAACAATCCATTAACTGAGACCATACTTGTAAACACTAAAAGATCCCTAATGCACTGGAGCATGTGGGGCACAAATTAACTGTACTGCTTACCTGGATTTTGTGTATTATATGAGCACAGAAGAATAAAATCTTTTGGAGGGTTAGCTAGTTGTTTCAGTCAGTGGGGTCCCTGGGGAGTGGAGTAGCCCTAGAAGTATTCACAACATAGTTTTCATATGGAATTTCATCCTGTGTTTATTGCTGTAGGAGAAAGGAGGTGACACATGATATCTAAGCTGGTTCACTGAACATAGATTGAACCTTGGTAAACACAGACAGGGCAAATTTTAATCTGTTCCTTTGGCTAAATTAATTTTGTACCAATTTAGTGTTCAAGGAACTGAGATTTTTATCCTCATTCTTCTAAAAGAACGACCCTGGTGTCCAACTCCTCTGGTGTTATATTACATAATGCTTACTGCTACATGCATTTTGGTGTTTTTAGTAATGGGCACAATATTGCTAACACCCAGCCTGGAGGAAACTGTCTCTGTGCCAGCTCCAGAACAGTGCAATCTGGAGACAGCAGTTGTTTGTGCACAGACAAGCTGATCTGGGTGCATGTGTGGCCAGTGTACAGATGGAGTCTGGCAAATTGATCACTATAATCAAAGGTCTGAAGGCTAAACAGTTTAGGGTAACAGAGTGTTGCAAACTACTGTGGGACATTAGTTGGGTTTTTTCCTACTTATTCATCTAGTATTTAAAAAATGAAGAAAAAATATTTTATTAGCTTTTCAAACATCTTGCAAGCTGCCTTGTATTTAGTTATTGTGGTCTCATTTAGTTGATATAGCCAGAAAATCCACTGATACTTGTGCACCACATATTACCCAACTCTCCTGCATCTCCCGTTTCCTCCAAACAAGCCAAGAAAACAAGCAGCCTGCCCTTGACAGGAGTTAGTGCAGGTCTTTTTTCATCTTGGGTTTTTTTTTAGTCATGTGAGGTGCAAGATATTAATAGAATGTAAACTCAAAGCCATCTGATGGTGGTGTTGGCCTGGATATTAAACAGAAGAAGAGATTGTCTCTTGAGGCGACTTCACTGCTCCTAAGTGGCAGTCACATGCCAGTGCCCCAGATGAGCAGAGCAGGCTGCAGTAATTCCTCTCCCTCAGTTCCCACTTCATGGCAAGCTGCCGGTGACTTTTTGGATACATTCCTGTCATTCTTATAGCAGGGCAAGCAGTTCAGCTCATGACTTATCAAGTCTAGTCAAAAGCCATCTTAGTTACTTGACACAAGTAGTTGCACCTTCTCTGGATTCTCTGTGGTGCCAGCAATGGGATACTGGAGCTGCAGATGATAAAGGATAATAAGCTGGTCATGTGGCAATGTGTTGATTGATTTGTAGCATAAAAGGTTTTTCCTTTCCTTTCTAAATTAAAACAGAAGTCTGTGTACATCCAAACAAATGGACTGACACGTGGGCAGTCTGTGCATTTATATAATGCTGGGGGATGGGAGAAAGGTTTGTAACATCACAGGCTGTATGTTCCATAGGAAACTTCCCCAGCTGTTCTTGTGGCACAGAGATGGGGAAGAGAGCATCTTTCCCTGTGGGAAATGCTTCCTTTAACAACTGCAGCCCAAATTCACTGCTCAGCTTGCTCAAGAGTCAGGAGGTCAATGATGGGAAGTAAATTCTAATTGAAAGTAAAAGCAAGATGTTCATTAGGGGAGGTTAACAAGTAAATAGGGCAGACAGGGAAAGGTGGTTTGTTGTTATAGTTGTTAAAGCTGAACAGGGAAGGAAAGTTTGGGAGGGAAGGGGTTTATTGTGGGGAGGATTTTTGTTCTTCCTACAGTACTTAACCTTTCTGTCATGGCAACAGTGCTCTGACAAAACCCATGCAACCCAGGAGCTGACGTAAATTGTGGAGTCTGAGTCTCATTAATGGTCTGTCAATAACATCCCCATCCAAACAGGCATTTGCTCGTGTTCCCTTATGACACTGTTTGTTTATGCCCCAGTGCAGGATGGTGATGCTGGCCGTTCACTGTTCCCTTGGTGTGAATAGTGGCTGTCAGGCCAAGTACCACTGTGGTTTCTCTGTATCTCTGAACCATGAAATCAAGTTCCCTCTCCCCCCACACTGAAGATAATTAAAATACCTTTTTTTCCCCCCCCACCTCTTTTGATGTGAGTTTAATTATTTGGCCTCTGCTCTCCTTCCCTTTTGTATTACTTTGCTCCGTTGCTCTGTCTCCTTTTTGTTTTCAAGCAGCAAACAAGTCTCTGGACTGTTTTGCTGTGTCATGTGACTAGAGTCAAGATTAGAAAGGTATCTCTGTGCTCTAAGGCTTGCAACTTCTATTTTTATCCACAGCTGTTGGAGCTGATAGCAAAGTCTCAGCTGACGTCACTGAGTGGCATTGCCCAGAAAAACTACATGAACATTTTGGAAAAAGTTGTTCAGAAAGGTAAGAAATGGAAATGGTGAGGGGGAGTCTGATTTAATCTGATGTACTTTGGTGAACCACATTCTTAACAATAGTCAGGCAATGTAAAATGGGTGAAGAGGGGCTCCACTGTTTATTTCTGAGTGCAGTTCTGCTTTCTTTTCCCTCAATGAAGGACTTGGGGGGAGGGGAAAAAATTTCTGTAGTCTAGTAGGTATCTGAGAGGTGACTCTTCCCTTCCCAGCTTTGCTCACTACCACCCCTTCTGCATCCTACTGAGTTCTATTTCTGACTGCAGAAGATGTGGCTGCTCCTGCCCTCAGCCTGGCATATCTGCAGTCCCTGCTGCCGCCTTGTTGGCATTGTGCTGTACCTGCTGCTCCCACTGCTCTGGAGGGGTGTCTTCACCTGCTCAGGGAAATGAATTGTGGTTGAGATGTGGCGCTTCCCTCATGGCTGTTCAGCTGTCCCTGAAGCCTGGGCATTGCCAGCAGCCTGTTATTATGCATAATGGGAAATGTGCATTAGATGGGGAAGAGGTGCACACAGATAACTTCTTGCACCGTATCAGAGGGGAAAACTGGCAGGTTGCCAGTGGCTGGAAATGGGAAGTGTGGCAGGTCTGATCTGCTTATCTTGGGAGGCTCTGTTTCCATCTGCTGTCTAACCTGCTGTGACTGGCTAATGTTTAAGTGCTTGCCTCTAAAAAGAAAAGCACAGGCTGGCTCTCTTGGCCTGTGAAATTACAGCAAATAACTTGCCTGACAAACATGTAGATTCAGAGAAGGATTTGGCAATTCCCACTTTTAACATTTCCTGTTCTTCCAAAGTCCTTGAAGATCAGCAGAACATCAGGCTAATAAGGGAATTGCTGCAGACCCTCTACACATCCCTCTGCACATTAGTCCAGCGGGTTGGCAAATCTGTCCTGGTCGGAAACATCAACATGTGGGTGCACAGGATGGAGAGCATTCTTCACTGGCAGCAGCAACTGAACAACATTCAGATCACCAGGGTAAGCACAAATTCTAAAAGCTAAAAATATGGTCTCCATCATGAAACGTTTTTTTGTTAACGGCTCTCATTTGGCAGACTGCTTCCCACTCTACTTCCAGTGCAAGCACAGACTGGAAGGACCTGGAGTTGCCAAAATAATTGGATGCATTCCTAGCATTACTTGACTCCCTTAATTCAAACTCAATATACATAACCCAGGATCATGCTTAAGGTTACTGGTCACAGACTCCATAATGGCTGTGAAGTGCTGTCTGAACAGTGCTGGACAGAAAACCATCTTCCCCTCTTCAGGCCTCAGTGTGAAAAGTCAACTCAGGCTTTCTCAAATTGAGCAATTGCCTTCAAAACTTTTTTTTACCAGACAGCTGAGGTTTTTAGATTTGTTTAATCTGTAAATTAAATGCAAATTTTCAAATAGATGCATAACTTCATGCTTCCTGGCTGAGAATACCATGATTGTTCCAGTAGTCTGGAGCTACCTGTTCCAGCTGGATGAGTCCTGCTTGTGCAACATCTGTTTTTTTCAACAGCATCTGTAGAGATGGGAAGGATGTGTTAGATAATAAATTTCTAAACTGGCTTTACATGGGAATCACGTCTGAACTTGTTCCATTTCACACAATCACAGCAGGTTTTGATGTTGGACTAGACATCTGGAGGTCATCTGGTCAAATCCCTCTGCTCAAGTGGGGATACCAACGATTAGTTGCCCAGTACTATATATACACGTTTTTTTTCTAACTCAAATGGATACTTGCTCCACTGAAATGCTGAAGCTTTCCCCCATGCTGATATCTGTGTTGGTGTTCTTGTCTTGAAGAACTCTTCCTATTCAGTTAAAAGTGCATCAAAACGTCGTTTGTGAAAGGAACTGCCTTTTATACATACTTGTGTAGGTTTGCAGACACTCTTTCTAAAGTAAATAAAATACATGTAGAGCATGCAAAAAAATTCATACCACTGAAGATAACTTCAGTTCAAGTTGGAAGAAAACCAGATGAATTCAGAGAAAGGAAGAAGCTCAGCTCTGTGCAGCCAGTTACTTATGGTGCAGTGAACTTGTGGTGTTTCTAAAGGGGGAAATGTCTTGCAACACCCAAGACCTAAATAATTTTCAAAAACTCCAGAAAACAAAACACCAACCTTGAAAAGTGTTGCATGTGCTATAGCTGCTTTAAAAAAAAGAAACTTCTGTCCAGAAAATGACAGCTTACTGATCTGTTCTGGTCTAATCTGTGTTCTTTCGGAAAAAAAAAAAAAAAAACAAAACAAAAAAAAAAAAAAAAACAAAACAAAAAAAAACTGTATGAGAAGTTCTGGAAAAGAATACTGAGGGGAGTACTAGTAGCAGATAAGCTTTTGGCCTGATTCAGAAAACCTGTAAGGATTTGACTCACACAAGTTTTTTTTCAGAAAGAGATACAAGTGTGAGCTTTGTTTGGGACTTTTCTTTTTACCCAAGAGTCTCTGAGCTTACTCTTGCCTGTTGTGTCCTAGCAAAGCTTGTATGTAGATATAGTTCAGAAGAATGAGAAATACAGCCTGGCAAGGAAGAGCAGTGGGACATGATCCTGGGATCCAGTGCATTTGTCCTACCCCCAAAAATACCCCAGGCTGTTATGGAAAGGACTGTCCTCTGGACACTGTAGAGACAGTTCACTCCTCCTGGAGTGATTGTGTCAGGTCTGCCTGGTGGGTGGTGAGGCAGAAATGGGTGTTTTGGTTGAGAAGCTTAGGTCCTTGCAGGTACTGGGCAGTGTTGCTGGTCTGGGCAGGCTGGCACGGAGGTGCTGAGGGGAGGTAGGAGCTGCTGCTGTGCGGAGGTACTTACTGTTCCTCTGGAGTCTCCCATGCCGTGGGATGGCTGGAGATGGGACCACATGATTAAAAGCAGCCTCCTGCAGTGTTTCCCTGCTGCTGGTGGGCTGTGTGCTGCTTGTTTGAAACAGTTAATAGCTCTGCCAAAGATGAGGCGGGTGCTGTGACTCTGCAACTTAAAATAGCAGGATCTCTGTGCAGGGTAAAGGATGAACTTGGCACATCTGTCTAACATTGTTTCTTTGTTGGAGCCCAATCCTAGAAACTGCTGTTTGCCTTAATAAGGCTGGGCTGGTTTTGAAGCTGCAGCTGGTGCCCGGGTTGTGGACTTGCTGATGCCTTGCTCCTGTGTATAGCTTGGATTTCCCCTGAGTGCAGGACATGCAGATCTAATGTGGTCAATTTGTCCTGGATCTGTACCCCAGGTGGACTTACAAAACAATCCTGGAACCCTGTGGAGGCTAAGCAAAGGTGGATGGGTGTGACTTTTGTCTCTTTAGGTTAGGATCTACTATTGTGTGGCTTAACAGCCTGGAAAACCAGGCTGCAGCCTGTGGGAAAGGGGCAGGTCCTTCAAGTGTCCCAGAGGAAAAGCTAGCCCTGCCAGCAGTGACCTGGGAACCCATGCTGTGAGTACTCACCAGCCACTACTGTGGTTGCAGCAAGATCCTGTGATGATATAAGCTAAAACACATGTCAGAAGAGCATGAGATTCCCAGCAGTGTGTTTAACCACAGCTGAACTTGAGAAGTAATGCCCATGTGCCTTGTGGTGGAGAGACCTAGATGGACAATAGCTGATACCATGATACAGCCAATGTACTGCTGTAGTGAAAGCTGATGGTGATACTTCAGGGAGCAGTGTCTCACAAGTATGGATGTGGGGTGGACAAAAGGGAGAGAAGGAGGCTTGGACTGCAGCTCTCCTAATTATTGTACTACAGATACATGTCGTCTTCCTTGAGGTTATCTCAGACAGTTGTGGGGCAGAAGGTCAAATATTTCCATGTAAAATGTCTCCTTTATTTAGAAGATGGAACTGCTGCTTTGTTCTCCGTGTGGAGAAGTTTTAAAAAAGCAGTAGCTATGCTGTAAGCTAGGATTTCTGAGGTTTTCAGCTTCCTGGGAGCTCAGTTCTGTCTGTCTCTTCCAGCCTGCCTTTAAAGGAACCACTCTCACCGACCTGCCATTGTGTTTACAATTGAACATCATGCAGCGACTGAGTGATGGGAGGGACCTGGTTAGCCTGGGTCAGGTGGCTCCTGACCTCCAAGTGCTCAGTGAAGACAGGCTGCTGTGGAAAAAACTGTGCCAGTACCACTTCACGGACAGACAGGTACGAGGAGAGGTGCAAATTGCTATCAGTTCTTGGTGTACCCCCCCACCCAGGAAGAGTTTCCACCCTGCATGTTCTCTTGCTTGGCTGTCTCTTGGATCTGAGGACTGTGCAGCAAGCTGATAATATAGGCTGGCATGAGAATGGCTGTGAAGATGATTTATGTAGAGGATTTTACATGCCACAGCAATGATTCCTGAAATAGGAGCTGGAGGAATTAATCATACACTGAATTTCAATCCTAATCCAGGTGGGAACAACTGCATGACTTACAGTTGCTCCTTGCCCCACGTGTGCAGGGAAAACGTGCAGGCGAGCTCCAGCAATCACTCTGATGTCCCAGGGACTGACACCCTTGCAGAAAATCTCTGTGGATGTGGTCCATGAGCTGTACTTCCTTGCCCTTTAGAGCAAGAAATCCCCTCTGAGTTGTTCTGTGAGCGATAGGATGATATGTGGAAAACAGCCCTGCTGCTGCCCACTTGGTACCTGTGTAAACGTCTCTGGCAGGCTGGTAGTCATCTAGGATCATCTAAACTTAAAAGTAAACAAACAAAAATCACTCTCTATTTATGGGTGAATGTATGGGGTGTACCAGATTTCTCTGCTGACTTGGCTTTATTTACTCACTCCGAATCTGACTTTGGAAGTAACACTGGAGGAGTTATTTCTTTTATTAAGTAAATTCAAATCCAATCTCTGCAACTAATAAACCCTAAAAGAAATGGGTATCTCCCAAGCCAACATGATAAATAACTGACTCTTAGAGAAAAATATCTCAACTCTTACAGCTGTTAAATGCAAGTCTAGCTGCTGTGCTGCCCACCAGAAACGGTGGTCAAAGTAGTATGAGATAGCTCCCAGGGTTTCTGGCTTCCTACAGTGAAGTTGATGAAGTGGGAATAGACTGTCATAATGGTATTGAGTGATACTGTTCCCATCAGGAAAATGCTTATAGCTTTTTCAGCTATAAGTAGAAAATAAGAGCTTCTTAGCTCAAAGAAGCTGAGAAGTCTACAAAATAAGAGCTTTCTCAGTGTTGCAAGGGAACTGTTATGGCACTGCCAAGGTTGACATGCGAGGGAGAGAACATCATGAGCTGAACAGAACAACTCAGTTTTTTGACCTGCTGTAATTGTGTGTATCTTTTCTTTAAGATTCGCAAACGTCTGATCTTATCTGACAAAGGACAGCTGGATTGGAAGAAGATGTACTTCAAGCTCATAAGGTGTTACCCACGGAAGGAGCAGTATGGTGACACACTGCAACTGTGCAGGCACTGCCACATCCTTTCCTGGAAGGTATGAGGTGCTGGTGGGACAGACTTGATTGGGGCAGGAGCCATGGGGCATCCAGTGCTTCCTCTGACTGCAGCTGGCTTAGGGTTGCAATTCATTTGCCTGCATAGCCTAGTGAATTCCTACATCTTAATTCTCCCTCAGCTATTAAGACCCTTTCTTCTCTGTGCTTCAGAGATCCCAACTTTATCTTGAATATGAGCACTGTCCATTGAGGCCAGAGGGTTGGAAGATGGGCATGTTTTAGGGCTGCCTGCAAGAAATCATTTTAGCACTGCCAGCAGCTTCCTCTACCCATCATATGCAAGTGGAGATCTTGGCAACAGGATTAGCTGGAAAGAAAGCTGATGGCTGCAAAACAGCTCAGGACAAAAATCTGCTGACCATTGTGGTGATATGCAAGGCATGTCTCTGGAGTTAAACTCCAATAGTTGATGGTAGGCTCTAGCCTCTATTCCCTCAGAAGAGGGGAACAGAATTAATTGGATCCTTGCTGCTTCTTTTTTTGATGACTTGCCCCTAAGATATTAAGCCTGCTTCTGAGCTGTCTATTATTCTGGGCTCTGCTCTACCTATTTGCACACGGGATGTCTGGCAGAGGGGCAGTGCTAAGTTGGCTGATGCTTTGGCAACTTTTCTGCAGCCTCTCTAAATAGAATTGTTTTCTCCTTTCCCAGGGTACTGATCACCCCTGCACAGCCAACAACCCAGAGACTTGCTCCACCTCTCTTTCACCACAAGAGTTTATCAACTTGTTCAGGTTCTGAACTTGGGTCTGTGCAGCTTATGCAATTCCTACAGGACGCTTTGTCACAGAGCTTGGACACTCCATTTGTAAATAGTGTAAATATTCATGTTTGTTTGAAGCTCCTGAGTCAAGGAACAAGAGGATCTCGGAGAAGAAAGTGCAGTTGCTCACTGACATGCAGCACTTAAGGAATACAGACTTCCATAGGACTGGTGTATAAATACAGCATGTTGCACAGAGTCCCTTTTTTATCATCAGAGTACAAGATACAGGGCAAAAAGGCCTTCATTTTTTGTTTTTAGAAGTTAAAAATGAATTTGCCCCGCATCCATTTGAGAACTCTTCTGGTTTGTTTCTAATAGAGAGAAAGCAATATGAGGCTAGGACTGTTGAACTGTTCCTCCATCTGGTTTTATTTAGCATACATATTTATAAGTATGACATTTTAGAAATATTTATGAAAAATATCCCTGTGACAAGTTTAATAATACTTCAGTGCTTTTAGAAGGACACATTCTGAAATACTTAGGATAGAAATTAGCCTACTTGCGAGACAGAATCGCAACATACCACTTTCTACCTCCAGTAGATTGAGTACCTTTCAAACAAAAATCCAGTGTACAATGTGAACTTTTGTATTTTGTACAATGATTTAAAGGGAAATGTTTGTGATAGTAAGCATCTTTTCTTGTATTAATGCTTACCTCTTTACATTAGTTTTCTTGCTCCACTCAGTGCTTGAATGCCTAGATGATAGGCACCATATGAATACCTAAGAATCTACTCCATCCTCTTTTAATTTGTTGGTTTTATGAAAGACCATGCAAATGTGAAAAGACTAAAGGATGAGTATTATCTATAAGGGAGGAAGTTCTATGATAGGGAAACAAAGGACTGGATTTAATCTCACAAGGTAAATTCTTATCTGCTTCATTAGGTTAATTGCACTAGTTGAAATCCTAAGTGATGTTAGAATCTGTTTTTTTCAAGCCCATGTTTTCCAACATATGCACTGCTCTGTATTCCCAATGCTTTCAAGTGAATTCAGTCACCTTGGAGCTGGTAACATATAGGGAGAACTGGGCCCTTGAATCTCATTAAATGATGCGGTTTTTATTCATTGGAAGACTGGCAGCAAATATGTAGTTTCAGAGCCCTGGAGCTTAGGGAGTGATTAGTATTTAGCAGCCAGGGCTTGGGTACACAAGGAATTTCCAACATCTTTGGTTCTTTCTCCATGGGCAAAGATCCAAGGACCCTAGTCCTTTCTGCTTCCAGTGCTGAGCTGCTTTATGGGATCTTCTGACCCTAACCCAGAGCTAAATTTTCAGTCCTACAGAGTAAGTGGCCACTTCACCATGGCTGTGATCTGGCTCACTGTCTCCTCTGTTACATGCAATGCTTCACTTTTCTCTACAGTGGAGCTTGAAGAATCCAGCTCATACATAGCAATGTGAAAACCTGCAGTGGAAAGTTTTTGCTGTTTGCTGGTAGATTTCCTGTATAGCACTTTCTCTGTGTATGATGTAAGCAGGATACCTTGTAAGGGTAAATATTTAGTGGGTTGTGTGTGACTGTGTACAAAAATTTTGAGGAAAAGGAGTACTCAGGACAATTCAGGAAGAACTACTTGAGTTATTGTTAAATATGCTGTTCCTTTTTTTACATTTTTATAACTGACTTTGAACACTTTTCTGCAGCTGTTTGTATTTTAAAATGACAATATTTACATTTTTGCAAACTAAATCACTTTGCATATTCTTGGAAGAGATGCGAAAAGGGAAAAAAGCTGCCTCTAGATGGAGCAGTGGGAAGAGGGGAAGAAAACATGGAAAATGCTGACAAGAGCTGCCCTTCTCCAGCCACCTAACAGCAAATCCTGAGTTTTTGCTCTTCCAGAGAGTTCTGTGAGCCTGCACCACCCTTAGCCATGGCCCAGAGCTTGTCACTCTCCAGAGATGAGGGGAAGACGCATGCAGGATAACAAGCTTTATCTTGGTGTTGATGCCCCATTCATCAGTTTGTCTGCTGGTGGAAAGCATAAGCCTCCTGATCATACTCTTGTCAACTGAAAGTGATTTAAAAACTGCTACCTTGGAAAAATACACTTGTGCTTGTTTGGGGGTGTTTGTGAGTAAAGGAGGCCAGTTTCTGTTTTCCTTCCTGTGTTGATGGCAGCGGGTAGACAAGGCTGAAATCTGGCTTCGTGAGTGAGGACATTAAGAATGAAACTTGCAAGTGAAGTGAGTGAAGCATTGCCACTGAGTTTGGAGAGTCCTGTATCTCCTTTTTCCAGCAGTGAGTAGCCCTGTCCCCTTGGCATCTTTTGTTTCCAGCTCTGACTTGGGGTTGGTTTGTTTTGTAGCTTTGCCTCTGCCACTCATGGTGAGCCAACCTGTTGTGATGGGGAGGCAACATTGCTGTATTTTGGTATGAAATGCTGCAGCACTCTGCCTAGAGATTGTGACACTGAGTGAATTTAAACTCAGATTTGAATCTGGCCTACTGCATTCCTTGCGTAAGAAGATGGAAATTCTCAATGTTGAGCTCAGATTTGGGAATGTCTTGGCTCCAGCCATTGCTTCTATCAAGCCAGAGACCCTGGGTCATACTGACAACAGATTTAATGTGTAACTGAGGTTCCTATTTATAAAACTTACTTCAGTTACTGTGTATTTTATTTCTTAGCACTGTAAGGGTTGAAGTGCTGAAGATGATTTGTTATACACAGACACTTGTCTGTTCCTTGTGTGAGGTCTTGGGATATTGCCGTCAGTGTCCAAACTAGCAGCAAACCAAGAAACTACTGTACAAAACAAAAAGAAACAGAATAAGCCTCAGTTACTGCTTCAGTCATTACACTCCTGCTGCAGCAATTGTTAAAGATGGCCATGATCTCTTTGGGGACCCATTGTTTCTCGAGTGGCTGGTACAGGGAGATGTTGCAGTAAATTCAATACTCTTGGTTTGTATTTAAAACAAAATGCTGTTGCATCCAAATACCTTACTCATTTACAAACAAAGCAATTAGTATTTTAGGGGTGTAAAGGCATCTGCTTGGCTGAGGATGGCAGAGTAACAAAATTGACAGTGACATCAGGGGCTTCCAGGTGGGATGGTTTAAGGCTGCTCTCAGGCAAAAAGGACCTCTTTATTTTAAGACAATTGTGGCAAAGCTGTTGTGAAGGGGAAAGCAGACTTTTGCTTGTATTGTGGAAATGGAATGTTCTTTTCAAAGGACGTTTCACCTTCCAGTTAGTTGATGCATTTCCATTAGATATGCATCAGTTCTTATACCGGGAAAGGAGAGCTTTTCCTCTCTTTGGGGTTTTCTCTTGCCAGCCTATCCAGGGAAATCTCACTGTCTTTAGAGGATGCATTAACTAGTGCAACAGCATAGAACATGGTACTGTGAAGAGGAAAAATAGATCCATGGAAGGGAGAAGGCTTAGGAAGGGAGAGATCCTGGAGATCTCTGTTTCGGCTTTCTAGAAGAGGCCAGTTTTTTTGATGTGGTGGCCATTTCAAGAGGCACGATTTCAGCTGTACATACCTTAAGCCATTTATATTAACTATGGTATGCTGAAGTTTGATCATAAAGTGTGTGTACCTCCTCTTATGTTTAATGGGTTTCTTTTTTTTAACTGTGGGAATTGCTAGATCCTTAATTATGTAAAGTGATTAGGAAAATGTGTATTGCTCTGAAGACATTGCTTTGTATGTAAACATTTAATTGCACCCTGCCACTTTCTGTATATGGGAATATATTTTATATTTTTCTTTGCCTAGGATTTAAACTGTTTGTATTCCCATTTCTGTTTGACTTCAATTACTTTTGGGAAGCTGTCACCTTCTAGAACATACACAGGTACTAAACCAGCTTTTCCTGCCCAGAAAATTCCTTGGCCCTTAGTTGCTAGAATTTCATTTAGAGCAGGAACATTTCCAATCCCATTGTGTAGCAAACAAATCAGATGTGCGTTTCACACTGATCTCCTGCTCGGTACAGCAAACCAGCATTGTCCTCTGTGGTTGTCTTACAAACGTGTTGCACATCTTCCCTGTAGATCAACACCTTGCCAAAAAGACATAGCTTTAAATTAAAATGCCCTCTTTGTAGCTGGCCTGTTTGCACAAGCACAGGCCCTGTGGAGCTGATGGCTGATCAGGCTGGTATAGACTCACTCCCTCCTTCAAGGTTTGGGACTCTGGTGTTCTGCTTGTGCTGCTTTCTCAGCTCTGAAGCCATGGTCAGCCATTCACACAGCTCTCAGTCTGTGGCTGCTGGGCTCTGAGTCTTTACCAGCACCTAATTTCTATCCAGTGTCTTCCTCCAGTGATTCTGTTCGTAGCAAATCAGCTTTACAGGATCTGGCCCTAGGAGAAGAAATCCATCTTGTCCTTGACACATGCAGTCTCAAGTATATAGATACTCTTGACACCAGAGAAATTCCTTCTTTATTGACCAAGTGTTGCTGTTTCTCCTCCTGGGAGGGCAGCTCAGGATGGAATTTGCCTTTCCTTAGCCATCCTGTGCTGCACAGAATGCTGACATGTCAGCTACCAAGAAAACATTTTAATTTGAAATAGAAAATATGCTCATATTTAGGAACTAATCTATAGTAATTATAATTACATATAGAAGAGAGCGTGTGTCCTATTTTATTTTTCCTTGAAGTTGTAACTAGAGATGATATTAAATGAAAGGCATCCCTTATATAAGACTTCTTTTTAATATTATTGTGTGGTTAAAATACTTCCATTATAAATTTGCACACTTTTTTCCTCTTTCCTTGCATGTTCAACTGATTTTTATAGCTGTTCTGTGCAGACAGTATTTTTGTAAAACATTTTTGACACTGAATTGCAATAAATGTTCAAACAATGTGAACCACAGAGCTGGCTGTCTCATTGCTTCCAAGGTGGTGACCTTATCAGCCTTGAGCTCCTGATGACCGCAAGCAAAGACTGTTCTGCAGGAACATCCAGATCTTGGCTCATTGTCTCAATAGAACATCCCAGATAGAGCTATTGCTTCATCATATCTCAAAAGGAAATGAGCCTTGGCTTCCAACAGAACCTGTGCTCACAGGGAGCCTTGTGCTCATGAATCTGTACTTGCCCACAGCACAGGAGTGATTGCTGCCCCAAAAGAGAACAACAGTGCTCACACTGATCTGAGACCTTCAGCTCCAACTTATGGCTTACAAAAACTGTGCTTTTTCTAGTCATATTGCCTGAGTGATTCTTTTTAAATCTTTTAAAATCCTTTTAATCTGAGTGATTAATTTTTTTTTTAATCTTTTTTTGGGAGTGGGGAACAATTGCATCTTGTTAGTGTCAGGACTGTGAACAGTCTGACCCAGGTTCCTGCTCAGAGGGAATGAGTCCACTGAAGTGACTCCTAATAAATTGGGGAAAAGCAGTTGAGAAGGCAAAAAAATGTGCTTCTGGTTGGAACAGATCATGATAAAACAGGATTACTTGCCTCATGAAAGCTATGCCAGCTATGGAAACAAGCACAAAATGCAGATGTTTTGTTTTCAATCTCACTTGCACTGTCATATAAGGTATGTTTGAGAGGTTTCCTAGGTCTCTGTAGTTATGCTGTGACTCGGATCTGTGGTTAGAGGGTTGCACCCACCAAGACACAAGTCCCTGGAAACACAGTATGGGACAAGATCACAAAGCCTTTTAAACAAGAGAAAGCTGTTGTTAAGACATATTTATTATTCAAACTTTTTTTAAAATAGCAAGCTCTACTATTTTAAGACTAAATGTGCAAAGACTAAATCCTTTAATGGGAATACTGGACCTTTTTAGGAGTATGTTAGGCCCCATTTTAATGTTATTGCTGCTACCACCTCCACCCTTTTAAATGAAGTCAGGGATAGAGGGAAAGGCATCCTGAAACATGGATGAAGGTCTGCCTTGATCAGTGGTAACAAGTCACCTTGTATACTTCCTTAGAGTGCCCTCACTGTCTGTCTTAGAGCCTAATAATGAAGTACAGTTTGGCCAAAAAGCATTTTGAAAACCTCTTACACAAGGAATATTAAAATTATGACTCAGCTTTGCCCCACCTTTCCCTAATCATCATTTCTGCTTCTCTGCTTTACAGGGGTGAACCCCAGTGAACCATGTAGGGGATTGCTTTATTTTTGACAAAACCCAAGCTGTTCCTGTGATCAAAATTGCAGAAATTGGAAAGAGCTGTTTTCCAAAAGGCTCTATAAATAACTCATGTGGGTTCAAAGGCCTTCCCCTAAGCTGGAAGGACACCAGTTCAGTCATCACCACTCTTGATGCATAGTATACTGCACTTTTTAGTTGAAAACAAACGTCTTGTTAATATGTTTTCCGTGAATAATTTCAGTTCTGGTCAGAACAGACCTTTAATTCAGGCAGCAGCATACACAGGTTTGCAGCTAAAGTGGCAGGTCCTTTCCAGAGCTCCCAATGTTGCTGCTGCTTCTATATAGTGGATAGTGAGACAGGAAAGACACCCACTCCCAGCTTCATGGGATAAATAAACAAACCACCCCATGGGATTTGTGTTCGTAGACAGAGAAACGCAGTCAGTACAGGAAATGTGAGTTCCTCCTTGTCACAACACACCAGGAATTTTGACTTATTTTAGCAAGGCTTTTAAGCACTGGGTTAAGCTAATTCTTACCAGCATTTATTTTTATTCTTGAAGTACATAAAATACAATGTCTCTATGGGTAATCTTTGATGTGAAAGGTAATATGATGTGTGTGATAAACTGGTAAAGGTAAATGATGTGTGTAATAAACTGTCAGCCAAGAAGCTGCCTCACTCTGTCTGCACCCTGTGCCAAGCTGGGGTGGGCTACAGTTTTGCTTTTTCTTGCTTTCCCTCCGCAAGCAAAACCCACTTTTGTGAGGGATTTAGCTCATGTTCTAAGCCAGAAACCTCTTTCTCTCCTTCCTCCCACTCCAGTGTGGCAGCCCAGCTGGAGGGAAGTGTCAGAGGAGGCTGCACACCCACCGGGGACCAATTGCCTGGCTCAGCCTGGGGCCAGCCTCCAGCCCAAACATAATCCAACCCAAGCTGATGAGAGCCCCTGTGGGTCTGCTCATGGCTGCAAGAATTCCGGTGCTGTGCTAGGCTGGGACCAACGCTCTGTGGTGTTGCCTTCTCAGCACGAGCTGTCTCCTGCTGCCATGGCCATTACTTCTTCCCCTGGGGTTTGGGGCACCCTCCTCAACTGCCCCTGGGGCACATTTTGTCTATGGGTATCCCACCAGAAGCTGACCACGGTTTTCCACATAGGTCCTCTCTTAAATTACTTTCTCCCAGTCTTTTTATAGCTCTCTGGCTGAAGTGGAATTTATTCTTTCTTTTTTTAATATAGCTGGAGGTGTAAATCCAAACAAATATAACTCTTGAGAGGGAATCAACCTGTCCATGCCACAGCTCAGCAGGGCCTGCATTACTGCTGGTATATATAAAGCAACCAGGAGCCTTTTTAAACCCCTGAAACTAAAGTAATTTTTTTTGTTACTTATAGATAATTAAATGGTTCTCATTCAAAAGCTCTGTCTCCTGGTGGTAGGTAGAAACCTACAATCTTACTCTTACCACACACTTTTATATTTAAAGCCTCTATTTTTAACCCAATGGTGGGATTCAGGGCTAATGCTCGTTAGATCTGTGTCTAGACAGTTGTGAAAAACAGGAAATGAATTACATTATAGTACAAAAGGAGAATTTAACCTTTTCTCTCCTCACTAACACATGTGACTGAGAAAAATATGTTACAGCAGAATATTTTTGTAAGTTTAAGGAAGTAGAAAAATGAGAAGAAAAAAAAACAACAAAAAAAAAGAGATGGGTTTCCACAAGGCCTCATGGGAATTATTACACAGAAAATAATGTGCCAGACTCTGCCCTCAGCTACACCCGAGCAGGAATTTGTTTCCTCTGGTCCCTGTGGAAAAATTGCATTTTATTATTCCCTGCTTATGCTGAACATTCAGAAGAAGGAAAAGCCAAGTTAGCCCATTTCACACACATGCATGAGCACAGCCACTGCACAACACCCGTCCTGCAGCACCCCGGGCCAGGCAGAGAGGTTTGTTAACACCCCTGGCCATAACAGCACCTCGCACCCCTTCTCCTCACGCTGCCTAAGGCCTTATGGTATTTCTGAAAGATTTACAAAATTATGTTTTGGCTTTTTGGATTACAGGCTGAAAAAATGCAAAATTCCCTTGCCTGGCCCTTGAGGAAGAGCCCAAAGGCTCACTGGCGCCAGGCAGCAGCACAGGGATGCTGCTGTGCAGGGTAAGGCTCCAGCTTTCAAAAACTTCAGAGCATGAATTAAGCCTGAAGCAGTGTGGACAGCAGGTCTGCGTGGAAAGAGCTGGAAAGCGGAGCCCGGGATGCTCTTTACCCACTTTTGCCCCCATTCCCTGTGAAATGGCCGCTGTTCTGATGCAAAACACACCGCGGTCTAAAGCAAGCATCTTCCAGAGCGCTCTGAGCGCTGTTCTGGCCCCCTCATGTGCCCCCAGCGGTGAATTTCCAGGGTTTCTCAACCCTCCCGGGAGCTGGAAGGCGGCAGAAGCACCGAGCGCCGGCTCCGCTGCAGCACCGTCCGTACTCCCGGTGCCCTGACCCGCCGGGGCTGCCGCGGGGACCCTTCTCGTCCTGCCACGGCTTTGCCTCCCCGGCGGCACCGCTTGGCTGGAGCCAAGTGTTTATGTTCGTGGACACGCTGTCAGCTGGCCAGAAACATGAATATCCCGACAGAGGAGCGACAAAGCCTTCGCAAGGCTCCCCCGCGCCGCTCAGCCCGGCTCTGCCGCTCCTGCCCTCCTGGGATCCCCCTGCCTTTGCTGGCTGCTGAGAGCATGGAGGAAAGGGATTCATTCTCTTCAAGGCTATTTATTTGCTTAGTTTTATCATGATTTCTTTTAATTTTGAAGGCGCATGAACATGCTGTGTGCAAATCACTGGAATAATACTGTAGCTAATTTTATGGCGTCTTTAGCACCGTCCAAAGTGGGAACAAAAAAACAAACCAACCCAACCAACAAACAACTCTCCCGGCAATGGAGCAATCTAAATAAAGTTCTTTAAGCAATACAATATTTCCCTGTATAGCTGTCAATGTTTCCACTGCCAGTTTGTCTTCATAAAGGAACCAAGCTTTGGCACAGCTTATATCAGGAAAAAATAACATCTTTAAGTGTTTCCAAGGGGGTATGGTGTAAGGGGAATTATGGAAGTTAAAATCGCTAGAAGAGCTGTCGAATGTTGGCCTAAGGGTCTCAGAAAGGAAAGAGCCTTGATTTATCCATATTTACTTGCCCTCACTTGTGCCAGGGAGGGAGGGAGTGGCGCAGGAGGCCTTGCAGCATTTGCACCAGACCAGGCAGCAGCAGCCAAGGTGTGCGTCCTCCTCAAGAAGAGCCAGCTGCTAACGGGAGTGGTGAGGAAATAATTCAGTGTTGCCCATTGCTAATGCCAAAGTAAGCTCGGGAGCCAACAGCCACTGCCAAATGTGCTGCTGTGGAAGGAGCTGTCTGTGCCTCTGTATCCATGTGCCTGGGGAGGCCCACGGACACGTGCATGCAGATGGACACACACGCAGGAAAAGCTGCCTTTCACAAGTCTTGCTCTGCAGGTCAATAGAAAAAGGAAGGTCAATAACTTTCTTGTCAGCAGCAGCTTTGCTTGATGGAGAGACTCTAGGACATGCCTCATCCTGGGGTGGGGGTTGGGAGGGAGTTTCTGCATTAATCATTGATCTCTTTTCTGTTTTTTTCATTAATGTCTTCTGCTTGATGTCAGTATAACCTGCTTGACAGTCTGCTGCTGTCAGAAATGGTGTTTGATTTACAGAAGAGGTGGAAAGCTAAA